ACTTGTACTGGTTCATCGAGCTCCAGAGGGTCTTGTACTAGTTCATGCAATGTTTGTACTAGAACAACCCTTAACAAAAACCTATGTATCGGTTCTTCACACATACATATAAAGCGCACATGTCTCGAGCTTACATTCAGATTCCATGGGTTCACTTTATACACCTCCACACTCAAGGGGAGGCTGCCAATCCCTATGGCCTTGGTTTTGATTGGTTAATGGCACTTTCAAAGTATCATGTGAGCATTGTCATTGGACGACACCGGCAGAGGAAACTTTTTTGGTAAAGCACCAACCACCCACACCATGCACCCTGGCCAATAAGGAGAAAGAAGGAAAGATGCTACTATATATATACTCATCTACACATTGGGGAAGAGCATTTGCTTAGTTTTTTTCTTAGTTTTGAGTTTTGGTTTTACATTGTGAGAGTTTTGCTGAGCTTCGAAGAAGATAGCGAATGCAATTTCCATTTCATTTTCAAAACTTGTGTTGTATGGTTTGTTCTTGTATTTGAACTTTGGATTTCAAAGAAAATCTATTGAAGTTATTCATTTCCTTCTTGTTATTCATTTACCTTTTATGTGTATATTGTTTGTTGCTGATTTTGGTTTGATGAGTTTTGTGTTCGGCTAAGTTTCGATGCATTCCAAGGGAGGATTCTCATTTGTGAGCAAGCATTGCTGATTCTATAACATCTTCTAACCATGTAGTATTATTTGTAGATGGAAAATTTTTATTTTGAAAACTAGTTGTTATGTGTTCATCTTGATTTCTCATCAACAATTTTTGCCACCTAGGGATAGGGAAATATGACCCTCCTCAAGGGAGAACTGAGCAACGGATGTGGATGAGCATGATTGTAAATCTCAACTTAGGGCAAAGTCTTGAAGGTTTAGTCTACTTGAATAGGCCTCCCAGTGTATGACTCATTGCCCCCTGGGATGTGATTGAACAGGATTCGGTGGGACTTCTAAGGTAATTGGGGTTATAAATCCAGATCAACATATAGGATAGTGAGACAGGTGAATTGGTGGCTGAAGGACCGAAACTATATGAGATTTCTCTATTGGACACCTTGACAAAAGTTTTGATGAAGTGGTTTAGAGAGGGAAAAGAGGATCCTAGGTAGGTGCGTGTTGAGGGCATTGCCTACATGGCCTTCTCAAGGTCAAGGTTCCGCGATGACCAGTCATGATCATTAACTTTGGAAGCCCCCTTCGCCTTGACTATCATACTCCTTCTCGAGGACCGCATCCAGGCTGCGTTTGGAAAAAGTCACATCTGCCTAGTTAATGTTGAGATACATGACTTGTAGTTAGCGACAACTGGTATAATTGCAATCAAGGCAATTGTGGGTTAATGATCACGACTGGTCATGTATCCCCACGGTAAAGGCAGTATAGTCGCAGTCAAGGCAGTTGTTAGATGGTCGCGACGTGCTACCCAAACTTGGACATTGTGTTATAAATACATGCATTACTTGCCCATTACAGGAGGGATATTTCCACCCGGCTAGTGAGACTATTTACTCTATCCACCTATCCTTTGCTCAATTGATTAGTCTCTTCGTTAATAGGTTTCGAGTTCCTTTCATCCCGTCTGCTTATTGTACTCATCTTTTTTGATTATTCTTAGAATAAACAAGTGTATCAACCTCTTTTAACTCTCCACCTACTACAATTAGATAAATATTAACGTGGCAATCAATCTTCAACATTCAAAATTCAAGCCCTCTGGAAAATATTTCTGACAAGGACAAATCCGACTGTTAAACTCACAAACAGATATAATCGACATGGCATTCTTGCATTTTGATAACTATGTAGATAGTGACATTTCAAAAGTATTCATGTATAACTCTCATCTAATACTATGTGACGGAGTCACATGGTAGGTATGTTTATTATCATGATTAGAACACGTTATTTTGGGAAATATATTCAACCAACTCCAATTATGTTGCTTAGGGTAAATTCTGCGGGAGTTGGTACTCAACAAAATCAATTAAAAATATTAAATTCAAGAAAAAAAGACTAAGATTCATGACAAAAAGTCTTGGTCTACCCCAGGCTGGGGACCATAAACCTTTGACAGTTCACACCTATCCAATAAATAATTGATCGGTCACGTTGATTAAGCAGTTGTCCTGGTCTACGTCTATACATATGCCCATATACATGCATATATATGGAGTAAAAAAATCATATATTAAGGGGACAACTCGGGTAGGTGGAGAAGTGAAACTGGGTTCAACCTAAAGTACAAAACCTTCGACTCAAGTTCAACCCGAACTTAAATTTAGTTCGAAACTTTTAACTTGAGTATTGCCCATGTTTAACTTTTCGAACTCAGCTGACCATGGGTTATACAAATCAGGTTGTAATTTGGGTTATAATTGGGTTCAATCCCAATTTGATTCTCGAGTTATGTAAATAAGTCGAACGAGAATATATTTGTGTTCACCCTAGTTTGAATCTAAATTTATGTCTTGGGTTAGAACTCGGGTTCATTTCACATCAACTTAGATTGAACTCGAATTTTCTAATTCGGTTTGAGTCCACAAAACATATGTTTCAAACCCGAATATTGTCTGAATTTCAATTAAGTTAAAATTTTTTTGCCCAAGTCCAACATTGAGTATGGAAATGTTGGTCCAAATATTAGGCTGGGGGTTAAATTTAGGTTGATCCGCCCAACTTACGTTCCCCCCCCCCCCCCCCCCCCCCCCCCCCCCCCCCCCCCCCCCCCCCCCCCCCCCCCCCCCCCCCCCCCCCCCCCCCCCCCCCCCCCCCCCCCCCCCCCCCCCCCCCCCCCCCCCCCCCCCCCCCCCCCCCCCCCCCCCCCCCCCCCCCCCCCCCCCCCCCCCCCCCCCCCCCCCCCCCCCCCCCCCCCCCCCCCCCCCCCCCCCCCCCCCCCCCCCCCCCCCCCCCCCCCCCCCCCCCCCCCCCCCCCCCCCCCCCCCCCCCCCCCCCCCCCCCCCCCCCCCCCCCCCCCCCCCCCCCCCCCCCCCCCCCCCCCCCCCCCCCCCCCCCCCCCCCCCCCCCCCCCCCCCCCCCCCCCCCCCCCCCCCCCCCCCCCCCCCCCCCCCCCCCCCCCCCCCCCCCCCCCCCCCCCCCCCCCCCCCCCCCCCCCCCCCCCCCCCCCCCCCCCCCCCCCCCCCCCCCCCCCCCCCCCCCCCCCCCCCCCCCCCCCCCCCCCCCCCCCCCCCCCCCCCCCCCCCCCCCCCCCCCCCCCCCCCCCCCCCCCCCCCCCCCCCCCCCCCCCCCCCCCCCCCCCCCCCCCCCCCCCCCCCCCCCCCCCCCCCCCCCCCCCCCCCCCCCCCCCCCCCCCCCCCCCCCCCCCCCCCCCCCCCCCCCCCCCCCCCCCCCCCCCCCCCCCCCCCCCCCCCCCCCCCCCCCCCCCCCCCCCCCCCCCCCCCCCCCCCCCCCCCCCCCCCCCCCCCCCCCCCCCCCCCCCCCCCCCCCCCCCCCCCCCCCCCCCCCCCCCCCCCCCCCCCCCCCCCCCCCCCCCCCCCCCCCCCCCCCCCCCCCCCCCCCCCCCCCCCCCCCCCCCCCCCCCCCCCCCCCCCCCCCCCCCCCCCCCCCCCCCCCCCCCCCCCCCCCCCCCCCCCCCCCCCCCCCCCCCCCCCCCCCCCCCCCCCCCCCCCCCCCCCCCCCCCCCCCCCCCCCCCCCCCCCCCCCCCCCCCCCCCCCCCCCCCCCCCCCCCCCCCCCCCCCCCCCCCCCCCCCCCCCCCCCCCCCCCCCCCCCCCCCCCCCCCCCCCCCCCCCCCCCCCCCCCCCCCCCCCCCCCCCCCCCCCCCCCCCCCCCCCCCCCCCCCCCCCCCCCCCCCCCCCCCCCCCCCCCCCCCCCCCCCCCCCCCCCCCCCCCCCCCCCCCCCCCCCCCCCCCCCCCCCCCCCCCCCCCCCCCCCCCCCCCCCCCCCCCCCCCCCCCCCCCCCCCCCCCCCCCCCCCCCCCCCCCCCCCCCCCCCCCCCCCCCCCCCCCCCCCCCCCCCCCCCCCCCCCCCCCCCCCCCCCCCCCCCCCCCCCCCCCCCCCCCCCCCCCCCCCCCCCCCCCCCCCCCCCCCCCCCCCCCCCCCCCCCCCCCCCCCCCCCCCCCCCCCCCCCCCCCCCCCCCCCCCCCCCCCCCCCCCCCCCCCCCCCCCCCCCCCCCCCCCCCCCCCCCCCCCCCCCCCCCCCCCCCCCCCCCCCCCCCCCCCCCCCCCCCCCCCCCCCCCCCCCCCCCCCCCCCCCCCCCCCCCCCCCCCCCCCCCCCCCCCCCCCCCCCCCCCCCCCCCCCCCCCCCCCCCCCCCCCCCCCCCCCCCCCCCCCCCCCCCCCCCCCCCCCCCCCCCCCCCCCCCCCCCCCCCCCCCCCCCCCCCCCCCCCCCCCCCCCCCCCCCCCCCCCCCCCCCCCCCCCCCCCCCCCCCCCCCCCCCCCCCCCCCCCCCCCCCCCCCCCCCCCCCCCCCCCCCCCCCCCCCCCCCCCCCCCCCCCCCCCCCCCCCCCCCCCCCCCCCCCCCCCCCCCCCCCCCCCCCCCCCCCCCCCCCCCCCCCCCCCCCCCCCCCCCCCCCCCCCCCCCCCCCCCCCCCCCCCCCCCCCCCCCCCCCCCCCCCCCCCCCCCCCCCCCCCCCCCCCCCCCCCCCCCCCCCCCCCCCCCCCCCCCCCCCCCCCCCCCCCCCCCCCCCCCCCCCCCCCCCCCCCCCCCCCCCCCCCCCCCCCCCCCCCCCCCCCCCCCCCCCCCCCCCCCCCCCCCCCCCCCCCCCCCCCCCCCCCCCCCCCCCCCCCCCCCCCCCCCCCCCCCCCCCCCCCCCCCCCCCCCCCCCCCCCCCCCCCCCCCCCCCCCCCCCCCCCCCCCCCCCCCCCCCCCCCNGCGGCCACCTTTTATGTATAACTGGTGGAAGAACAATATATAACACAATAAATCAAAAGATAAATACACTGACAAAACACTCATTATCACTATCTATTAATTTCAAAGACCAAGAATGAATCTACATAAGGCTTTGAGGTGAGAAATCATACAGATATAATAGAGCACACAGACTGTATGAAAGTGAGCATGAGAAGTATAACAGCAGCAACAACAGAGACAACTGCCCAGGGAGAATGGAAATAGTCTCTTTTCAAATTTGCCTTCCACCTGTGCCAAGGAGTCCTGCAATATGCGTTCAGGTTCTTACAAAGAGTGAGGAAATAGACTTTGTGACCAAAAACCACCTCTTTACAGATATTGTTGAACAGCATCATCACATCTTCATTGCTTCCCAGCCGGCTTGTGATAATTCTATGGTGGATTAGTAAGTCCACATCCTTGTGAGTGTTGATCATGCTATCGATGAGGGCCATGTAGTGGATTATGTACTTTTCTTTGCAGTGACATTGCTCGTAGGCGATTAGGTTTCGGAACAAAGTTTCTGTCAAGTCATCTATTTCCAAATATGGGATTTGAAGAACTCCATTAGTGAACTCGACATCAAATAAACAGCTGCTGTTTTTCTTCACTTCAAATTTGATGCCAGCTTCATGAAGTCTTGTTGCACTCGGAGAGAATTCAATCGCTGGATCACGCTTCTGCCACCCATTTGGTGATGAAGGCAAATGACAGTGTCTCAAAAAATCCGGAAAATGCTTTACCTCATTTGTGGAGATGTTATCAGGATATTTGTTTAGAGTCAAAAAACTCTTGAAGTGTTTGTAAGTGAGCTTAAGGATGGAAGGTATTTCCTCACCGTTATTGTCCATGACCAGGTCAAGCATACCCTTGAGAACAAAGAATGGAAGTTGATTTTCAAGTAATATCATGTCGCGCCCCACATCATCAATCATCCATGGGTTACCAAATATGCGATCCATTTGATCATTAATATCACCAAAATGGGACCTCAAGAGTAGCTCAACAATGAAACTTCCATCCATTACTAACATTTTCACAAACTCGTCACTGCTTAGATCAATGGTTTCTGCATAACAGCCACGGGCTCTTCCTTCCCAAGTCCTCACATGTTTAATATACTCCCCTAAGCTCAATCTTATCTGGGATAGAAAACTTTGTAGGTACCTTAGTTTATGCTCTGTCATAGCTTGCAAGTTCTTATGCCTTCGGTGAAGAGGGCCGATTGATACTGCACGAGGAGTGTAGGCTTCTCCGCCATTAAATTTGCGGAGTTTCTCAGGAACTCTGTAGATACAACACTCAGATGACAGGAGAGGTAAGCTGTCTAGCATTCCTTCTATTGAAGCTGCCACCATATCCGTTTGTTCTGCACCAACATTTTCCATCTCAATTGAAATATGAGCTGATTCATTTGCTCTTGGGAAACCTGCCATCCCTCTCAGCTCCTCTGCCTAGTTAAAAAAGAGATGGCATACCAGGCACCACAGTCAAAGTCATAATTTTTAAGTACATTTTCTTGCTAAATGATAGCAGACTAAGGAGAAAGTTTCGATTCGTAATGTAAGACCAAAATTGCTTTTTTTTTTTCTTCTTGTGGTACTATCTTATAATTTTTTTGGGCTTTAACAGAAAATGAAAAAGCAGAACATGAAAAATGTAGGTGCCTAAAAACTGCAATTCTTTCTGGTAATGCCTTCTTGCAGATTTTAACTTGGTGCTGTGACTTCTCCACTTCTGATTCCAGTTTAATACGTAACAAGGTTTACGACCCATCTTCAATTGGCCATGATGCAGAAAGGATCTAATGCTCATCGAATCTAAGGGAACTTAAGGCTTCTAACTTATTTCCAATCTATAATTTATACGGATGTTCTTGTACCTAATAACATCTGTAAAACTCCAGCAAATGAGAACAATGAAAACAGAAGAAAAGAAAAGAAAAGATCAAATTTATGATCCAAACATGTTTGCTTTCACTAAAGACGCCAGAACAGAACATTAAAGGGGTAATTACCAACTGAACAGAACATCCTAATGAGTTTTTCACTTAATAATTCCTATAATTTATATCTGATTCTAGTGTTTTTTGTGCAATAAATCAAAATTGTAAGTGTCAAACTTTGATTAGTAGACGTATCAGTTTGCGAGTAATAGCATGGATCCCGAGTTTACATCGAAATCAAGTGTGGTTCAAGTAAATATTGGTTGTCTGGTAATAGTAATAGTAATTTCCTGTTTTTTTATAACCTTATGTCTTTTTTTCTGATCTCTAAATGTCTTAGTTATGTAAGATTCACATTACTGCATTCATAGTTTTTCTTTTTGACTTCTTTCAGCAGAGGAAATATTAGCAAAACAGTCAAATAAGGTATATAAACTTTCCTTAAAAATGAGAAGGGTACAATCAGGCAAGATGGAATTCAGATAAATAAAGAAAGATTTGCGAGAGAGAGAGAGAGAGAGACCTGAGTTAATTTTCTTGAGAGAAGGACAGGGAAGGGATGATGGGAAGCAGCACTCCTAGTTTTTCCTTCCTTGTAGAGAAGAACCAGCTACTATAAGGTAGATTGGATGGACTAATCCTCTCTCTCGCTCTCTCACACACACTAGTTATAAAGCAACTCAGCATGTCTAAAGACTTGAAGGTGGTCAACTCCCTAATTACAACTCATGATCAGATTTATTTGAGTGGTTGTAATTTTTATGTTATAAGTTGTAACTTAATTTTACAAAATTATAATTTTTATGATCGTTTATAAATTATAATTTTTATGATCGTTTATAATATTTTAAAATTAATTATATTATTTATAAATTATAATTTATACTTCAAAAAATAATAATTTTCAGCACAATCCTCATGGCATTATGGAAGTCTTTCCCTTTTCTTTTTCTGGTACGTCCACTTCCACTCTACCCATTTCAATAGTTACAGATGTACAAAGAGCCAAACTTAAATATAATAACAGTTCCTTGACAAGCATAATATTGACTGGTTGTTTGTGGGTAGAATCAAGGCCGTCCAACGGTTTGCAGTTCATCTTACCAACGGCTGGTCAAGTACATGGAGCATCAACAACTGCAGGGTCCGAAAAAGATAATATATATATGGAATTTTACCTATATTGCAAAAAGGTCGTCTTTTTTTTTTTTTTTTGGTGATGTTTAACAATCATTTTACATTGTTTCCTCAATTATTTGATTTATTTAACATTGCTCTAATCGTAAATGTTTGTTATTATTTTTGAATAGAAATTACCAACGTGTCAGTACATAGTTGAGGGGACAAAAAGAAAAATTTATTAAATATGTAACGAACATTAATAATTAGGGTAATTTGAAACTAATTATATAGTTGAGGGTACAAGATAAATACTATAATAATTGAGAGGATAATATAAAAAAATGATTATACTTGAGAGGATCAAAGTATAATTTATCCTTTTTAAAATAAATTTAATTTAATAAAATAAAGATTCTGGTACGAATTTTTATACCAACTTCCACAAAGTAGAATAAAGGCTCTTCTTCACATTATAGCCGGCAAGATTGAATAAGGAATTGTTTATTGAATACTCCTCCTACTATGAAATCAGGCAGGATGACAACGGTTGAGAAATATTATCTAATCATGTTATACAGGATCCCAATGATTAGATCAATTTAGAGTCTCATCAACATCTTTTTTTTTTTAAAGGGTGAGTGTATGCTTTCCTGTTCATTTTTTTTGTAAATTTTTTTATCAAAGCTTTTTTTTTTCGTGAGATTTTATATTTAGTTGGATTCTCGTAAGTCAAAATATTAGGAGAGGTAATGAGCCAGAGAACTTACGCCAAAATCTGATATCTCATTAGCCATATACCTCTTTGGTACCATGCCTAGCTCTGCTACTTTTTTGTAAGAAACAATAGCTTATAATAATAAGTTAAATAATTAAAAGAAAAGGCGAGAAGATAAAAGGGGAAAAACTAGATCTCTTTTATTCATTTACCAAATTGTCTAGACTACATATGTAGGTGTACGTATAGCTTCTATAATATGAAACAGAGTAGACTTCAATAAGATAATTTGACAGTGTCAAATAGACTCATCCAACGACTACTAATATCCCTTTTAAAACCATTCATATTGTATCATGTCCCCAGACACAAATTACCATAGTATGGATATATACTCCAAATGTATAACACTCCATGTTCCCAATTGTACTTGTTGTAGCAACCAACAACACATATTAAGTCATCACTCATCCATTACTTTGAAATTAAATTAAAACACCACTAGCAAACATTACGTGAATGTGAAAACCAACTCGCAAAACAAAGAAATAAGGACAATCAGGTTTATTTCTCAACAAGACCTTAGGGTCATTGCCAATAATTGAAAAGAAGGATAAAACACATCTCACAATTCTCATAACACGAAAATTATAAAGCACTCTATTTGTATAAGGGTGAGTAAAAGAAGAAAAATTGCTTCGATGACATATATTCTCACAATTGTCGTAGCACGGAAATTATAGAACACTCTGTTTGTATAAGGGTGAATATAAGAAGAATAACCGCTGCAATGACAGTTATTCCAGCCCATGGACTCTTGAAATAATCTTGTGTAAGATTCCCATGTAGAATATATCCTCGAGAATAAAAAATTGAAGTTGATTTTCAAACAACCATAAATGACGATATATACCACTATTGTGGTAAAATTTACTAGAATTGTGGATAATTTAACACAACTAAGTATAGATTTACCACATTTGAGAGTCAGTTTATCATAATTGTGGATAAAATTACAAGTTTAGAAAAGAATTTATGACTTTTGTAATTAAGATTACGACAACTTTGGACAACATTATGAGGATAAATGGTGAATTTAATATCTATCCTCAGCTCTATGAGTAGATACCCGATCTTATTGGTTACAATCCATTTACAAAATTGAGTTAAGTTAAAAGCACGGTGGATGAATTTACCACAAGTGTAGTAACATTACAACATTAATTGGAAAAATGTTCTACAATTTAGGGTCAACGAGAATTTCAAATGTTGTATGTCAAATTTAAATTTGAAGGTTTATGTGGCAATTTGACATATATCATTTGATATCTTCACCATGCACTTCAACCAATGTGTCAAAATAATTTCTAACAATATTAATTCAATAAAATATTGGATTTGGCATAGGAGATGAGATACGTCAAATTTGATAGTATGCCAAAATTTATTTTGCCCAAACAACAATTGATATAGCCGTCGGAGGAGAAGAGAATGCCAAAAAGAGACGTTGGACTTCTCCAAGTCCCGGCCGTTTAATACTTATAGGTTTCGATCCATCTTCAATCCTCCTTGATGCAGAAAGGATTTACTGTTCGTCGAATCTAAGTGGAACTGGAGGCTTCTAACCCGTTTCCATTCTATATTTTATATGGATGTTCTGGTACCTTACAACATTAATATTTAATATTGGATTCAAGAGCTTTTAGTCTTATATGTTTCTACAATCCACCTTTAAATCCTGCAACCAAACCATTCCTATGTCTTTTTCTGAGCTCTAAATGTTGTAGTTTTATAAAATTCACATTTGTGCATTCATAGTTTTTCTTCTTGATTTCTTTCAGCAGAGGAAAGATCAGCAAAACAGTCAAATAAAGTATATAAACTTTCCTTAAAAATGAATTTAATCTTGTAAAGTTAAGTTAGCTCTTACTAATTTCTATACCAACTACCAGAAAAGGCTCTTCAGTTATAGCCGACAAGATTGAAAAATGAATTGTTTATTGAATACTATTACATCAGCCAGGATGGCATTAGCTAAGAAATGATATCTAACCATGTTATATAGGATCCCAATACAGTCATATACAGTACTACTCTTTCACATTAGTTTGTAGAAAATAAATGTAATCATATTCAAAACAACTACCTCACATTAATATAAAGATAACGGAAATACATTTTCCTTTACAATGTGAAAATTTATTACTACTGCATTCTTCTGGTGCTCCGAAAGGAATTTAAAGTCCGCATGTTTTGGAACTCTTTTTCAAATTTGGGAAATATTATATAACCTAAATTTGCATCTCAAATAAACGGGACCATTGGATGAGTAAGCTCTATCAATTTTTTTAAATGGAAACTGATGATGCACAAAAATGGTTTTGCACACCACCTGTCAAGTGTAGATAATAAATGCAATGAAATCAATGAAAAAATTAAAGAAGACACAATTTATAGTGGTTCGGTCAATTCGACCTACGTCCACTCTTCAATGGTTTCAGTTGCCGAGTATTTTATTGATTCAAAGGTATGGAGAATAGAGATACAAGCTTTGAGAGAGAGAATGGAGAATCAAAGAAAATAGTAATCTCCGGTAGTCGGTTCGTCCTCTGTAAGTCTCTGGTGGGGCGTGACATTCCTATGTTTTTTCTACCAGATTGGAGCTATTTTATAGCAGCCAAGAGATCATTCTTGTGGAGATCGTGACATATTCTCAAGGCTTCTTNATCTTTCCCTCTTTATTTTAAAGAAGGCCCATAATATTCTGTTTGACCTTTTTTATTTTGAAGAGGGCCCATAATTTTCTATTTGGCCACTTTATTTTGAAGAGGGCCCATAATTTTTTATTTGACCACTTTATTTTGAAGATGACCCATAATTTTCTATTTGGGCTTTTTTCCTCTTTTTGAAAAACCCTAGACTATAAATATAGTCTTCTTCTTCATGATACCCATTTCACTCATTTTTAAGGTTGAGCACCCACCTCTTGAAAATTTTGAGAACTCAAGTCCTACTCATTTTGTTGAAGCCAAAGTGTGTTCTCCTTGAATCCTTTCAAGAGTGTGATTTCTTCCTTGCTAGTTGAGCTTCTCAAGTGAACAATGTCGATTGAAGAGGGAGTGGTAGAGGTTGAAGAAAGGGAGGAAGTAGACACCATTTTGGAGAACTTGGAGGCTAGTTTTGAGCATTCGAATGCTGTCTTGGACA